GTGTTCAAAAGACGGGTTGACATGGTCCTCAGGAATATGGTTTAGTTTTTTTTTTTATTGCTTATTTCTTATTTTTTTGTCAGAGTTAGGTTGATGGTTGGACTAGATGATCTTTAAGGTCCCTTCCAACCTAGACGATTCTATGATTCACAGGGCCTTTGGTTGGGGGGTGAAAAGCCGCTGATCAAATGCGCTGTGACTTATCTCTTTGCTTGCAGGTCACTAAAACCATTTGGGACCGAACCTCCCCTCCCACCCCAAAACTGGAGAGGATCTCGCTGGCAAGCTTGTGATGGACCCCTGGGCCCCTGCCGGGCCACCCCAGCCATGGGAGAGGCAGGCAGCCCAGGGGACACGGGGAGACGTGCCCCATGGTCCCCCACCTCAGCCCAGGAGGCAGCTCCTCCGTGCGGAGCCCCCTCCTCGGCCTGGCTCCTGGGATGGGAGCCACCTCCCCAGCCATCCCTGGGATGAGGGCCACCACCCCCGGAGGGATGCCCACAGACCAGCTTCCCGGGCTGAGTACTATGGAAGCAGCCACCAAAACAGACCATACTCCAGGTGAGAGCCACCCAACGTTGCAACGCTCATGCTGAGCCCCTTCCTTCTAAACCTTCTTAAAATCAGGTTTGACCATTTGACTGCTCTCGTGGGCTTGCCACGTGGGTCCTCCCCTTGTAACTGCATAGGGGAAGGAGCGAGCAGCCTCAAGGAGCCAGTGAATGATCAGGAGATGCCCAGCTATTAAAACAGCTGGTGACTTCTATATTTAAGGCTGCATAACAGTTGCAGCTCCGATTTCTTCCTATTGCTGTGACTTCTGCAGTTGCCATTTTACAGGCTTCATCTCGGTCCCGAGGTGCATTTTTCTTGAAGGTTTGATTAAACGCAGTTCTTTTTTTACTAAGTGCAAGGTGAACAATAAAAATATAAATGGCAATATAGGAGCAAAAGGGAGCTTGCAAGCTCAGCTGCTGAAACAGCGGAGGGTGGAAGGATAAAATGTGAGCTAGAGGATGCTCTCAGTGCTGAGAGAGCTTCGAGTGCTCCAGCAAATTTGGGTTGATTTGCCTGAGTTATTGCCCTTGGCGAGTTACGGTGTGGATAGGCAGGGTTTTGTGCTGAGGCTGTGTGATGCTCACACGGAGAAGGGGGTCGTTGCACGGGGCTGACCAAATCACTGTGCAAATTATAAAGGGTTAAGCTGTGCAGGGCAGGCAGCTTGGGGTGGGCTCTGGGGCAAGGGGAGATCTGCATTGAGCTGTGTGGTGAACATGGCAGCTCCAGAACTTGGTGGAGAAGGTGCCTTTGTGGGGGGGACCTCTCCTAAAACACGGGTGAAAGTTAATCTCCTTGACAAGTCCACACCTTTGAGCTGAAATTGTGCATCTCTTGAAACTGCAGAGGACAGCTTTCCCATAGATGGGGATAGGAAAGGATCCAAACCTCCTGCTGCTCCTTCCAGGTGTGATGCTGGACCAGTTCCTGCTCCTGCCTCTGAGCAAGGAACCTGGGCAGGGGACCTGGCTTTGTCTCCACCACCCTTTCTGCCTCCAAAGATCCTGTCCAGGCATGAACCTAACCCTGGATGTAGTCCAGAACCTGCAGCGGTGCCCTTTCTTTTGCAGATTAAGAATGTGTTGTGTTTCAGGCAAGGATATGAAGATTCCCACTGGCAGTATCCAGCAGCCAACTACGGGGATGACTATGCCTACCAAAGCCACCAGTGGCGGCCAGTGACCTGGCAGGGTGACAGTGGTATGCGCTTCTCCTTGGGGTCTGGGGATGGAGGCAACTTACTGCTTGCAGAAGAAGCAATACTTCCTCTAGGGCAGGTTGTTGTCCTAGGGTTTACTCCAGCCCATGCTCCTGGGCCATCAGTGCTGTTGTGCCCCTGCAGCACTGCCCTGAGTTTGAATTTGGGAGATGCAAGCAGGAACTGGGTAGGCCCAAGAGAACATTTAATCTTGATCTGCATGGCTAAGAACCTGGTTCCAGGCTGAACTCGATGATGCCAATGGTGCTGTGTGATCAGGGTGGTCAGGGCCTTGGTTTTGGTCTTTCTGGAATTCCTGGGCTGAAGAAAAGGGGAGGAGGGGAAGGACATCAGTGCTGTGTTGGCAAACATGTACAGGGCTTTGTTATACTTCCAACTTGCTGGGTTAATTTGGAAGCAAATGGGGTGTGCATGGCAAATTGTCTGACTCATTGCTTTTCTTTTGCAATTTCATTATGGCTTGTTGCTCTGGAGGGGCAACACTAAATCTTGATTGTCTCTCTAGACCTAAGACGGGGAGAGCCTTATGGCAAGACTTCCAAATACCAGGACCAACATTACTACAGGGGTTACCACCCCAACCTCGCCACACCCCCCCTGGGGCAGGACAGGTAAGGGTGGGAGGTCACCAGTAGATGGTGCAACAATCTACTGCAAAATTTGTGAGTTTGTGGCTGCTCCCAAAAATCTGTGACCTTCAGGGCATTTTCTTTTGCTCCCTTCTGCAGGACACAGACCTATGACTCCTCCAAGGAGAGATATGTCTCAGCTGCCCGTCCTGAGTGGGCAGGGGGAGAAACCCTTGGCAGTGATTCAGGGGAGGCTGGTGGCCAGTCCCGAGAGGTAATGTTGAGATGGGTTGGGGTGGAGGACAAAAGTCTTGGGGGTCTCCTAGAGGTTCTGAGAGCAATCCGTGTGTCCCTCCTCCAGCTGGGAAGGAAGCTGAGGAGAAAAGGGCTGTTTTGTTATGTTGTACTCACTACTTAACAGTCTCTGGGGATTATTATAGTGGGTTATTAGTATTTATGGAAGTCTATCTGCTGGGCTGTTGTTCCCCCAGGCGTGGGGCTGTACACTGCTCCCAAATGGGACCAAGAACAAGACAGAAATCCAGGGCTGGTGGGATGGCCCTCCTGCATCCTCCCTAGGTAGCTGAAATCTGTGTGTTGTTTTCAGCTCTGTCCACCAAGGTCTGCTCCATCACACTCGTGTCCTGATCACTGTGTTTTGCAAAGAGCAAATTAAAAGATCAAATGAAAGCTGCTCTGGTGGTTTTGCTCCTGGGCAGAGCTTTTTTTTTGGATTTCCAAGCACTGTGACTCTTTTGGGGAGTCCGTGCTAGGGCTAGGAAAGCTGTTGGGCTAGACCAGTGGCTGGTGTAAATTATTTTGGTCATTGGGTATGACCAGGGCACGTGCCATGATGAACCTAAGATGCTGAAGAGAGGTGCTGAGAGATGTTGCTTAGACAGGAATCAGCTGTGCTGTGCTCTTCCTGCTGGGGGGTTTTATGGAGCAGCAGAGCCTGTCCCACTACCCTGGAAGCAGAAAAGCAGTGATATCCCTAGTTTCTCAGCCAGATTTGTGTTTTCTCTCTTTCTTGCAGCCCTCGGGCCAGCCCAACCTGCTCCTGCAGTACCGTGAGTCAGGACTCAGCTCCAGCAGCCACGAGCTCAGCCAGTACATCCATGACAGTGCCGACCACTACGACCCCATGCTTTCAGGGACCTGGAGCTTGGCACAAGCAGGTGAGGTCTGATGGAGCCCTGGCCCCCATCCGACAAGTGGGGAGCAGGGAATCAAATGGCTGGCACTAGGAGATTTGCTGTCTTACAGCTTGGTGCTGTCCTGGAGGAGGCTGTGCAGGTGTCAGGCATGACCAGGGTGCTGTGGGGTGGGTGCATGGTCCGGTGGCTCTGCCCTAGTAGGAGCAGGAGCTGCCATGCATGCCTTCTGCTTTAGGAGATGGTTCTTGTGCGTTGGGGAGGTCAGTGGAGGGCTACTTGAGTTGCAGGGGGGCAGGTTGGGACCTGGTTACGTCCTCCATAGTGCATGTGGTGTTGGGGGTCAGGGTGAGGGGACTCATGCTGGCTTGTGTGTTGTTGCAGGAGGTCCCTCGGTATCCACCCCAGCCCCGGTGGTGCCCCTCAAGTTCTCACTGCCGCACGTGGCTGTGTGCTTTGGAGCCGGAGGCCAGCTGGTGCTGGTGTGTCCCCACCACCCTGCCAAGGGACAGCTAGCCCATGTCCAGCTACACAGCCTAGAGGTATGCCACAGCCCCACACCCCAGATCGCTCTCGGTCCCCTTGCTGGAGTGGCTCCTTTTGCCCTGAGGGATGCAAACACCATTTGTCACTCAAACAGCCTCCTTAGCAGCCTTCCCATCCCTCGCTACCATCTTATCTCCAGCCCACATGGACTCTTGAGTCTGCATCATGCCAGTCTATGCCACAATGCCAGATGCGAGGAGTGGCATCTGTGCAACTCCTTCAGCTCCATAACCCTTGTCGTCTGTGACCTGTTCACAGTGATCCCTTCTGATAGGGACAGACATGATCCATGCCTTTCTGAAGGATAAATCTGCTCACCTTTCTGAGGTGCTCCAATATAGAGGCTGTATACATCTCCTGAGCCTACCACAACTTTCAATCTCCTGTTTTGCCTCCCAGAGGCAGCTAGTGCCATCTCAACAGGTGTTTATTTCCTGGACCTTAACATTTTCTGAGGTGCTCCAATATAGAGGCTGTATGCATCTCCTGTGCCTACCACAGCTTTCAGTCTCCTATTTTGCCTCCCAGAGGCAGCTACTGCCATCTCAACAGGTGTTATTTCCTGGACCTTAGCACTGGGGTCCATGTGATGGTTTAGGGTCTATGCTCTCGAGTTTCTTTAAGACAGAACAGAGAGTGTGTTCACCAGCACTGTTGAACCCTCAGCCAAGGCACTGACTTTCAGTTAGCCCAGCTGGGGCTGGCCTGATTGCTGGAGTCTAGCTGCCAAATTTTCTCTTGTTTTTTAGGTAATTCTTCATGACACAAAAGAGCTGGAGGAACTACAGGCCTTCCCAGGGCCCCTGGCCAGGTATGTCACACTGGCAGGTCCAGGACCTGTCTCATCCTGGCTGTTCTGGTGCATGGCTGTCCTGGGAGTACCTCTCCTTTGGGAGGAGACATGAGCTCAAGGCAAACTTTAGGGTCCCCATGGTTTTGAGATATCTGCAAAGGCCAAGTCTGGGTTCAGACTGGGAACCGAGCCCCTTTGCTGTGGTGTAGGTTGGTTTGGACTGTGGGAGATGGTCTTTTTGAATATTCATAGGGTGTGGGTTTAGTGTGGCTTGTATGTCTGACCTTATTTTGTACTAGTGTCACAGAAAACTGATTTTTGGGAGATCCCTTTGGATGTCTAAAGCCCTGGGTCAACCTGTGGCTTAGCTTTTTCTGATGTTTTTGTCCCTTGAGACTGTCGAGCACGGTGGAATCAGCCCCAGTATGTGCTTTCATCCAGTGTGAGCCTGGGGATGAATCATGGGATATTGCATCAGGTTGTCTCTGTATCATACTGGTTATACCAGTGTGTCTTCTGGTGGCTCACAACCCAAGTGGGGAGAGAAAAGGAGTGTGCAGGAGGAGGAAAGCCATTTGCTGAGCAGGAGAGCTGTGTATCCCCAGAAGCTGGGTGGAAGACCTGGAGGTTACCACTTGTGCTGAATGGGACATTGGGAATTTCCATATGATATGTGGGTGTGATTGAGTCAGGATCAGCATCTCCATCCCCAGTCCCTGTCCCCCAGCTGATCTTGTGTCTCAGGCACCTTTTCTTTCCAAATGTCTGATTATTGTATTGTAAGACAGCAGTTCTGCTTGGCTTGCGCATAGCTTAAAGGTTTCTACTTCTGTTTCAGACCCAAAGGGTTTATGTGTTCACAAGCGTGTCTTTCTCTCCTTGCTATGCCAGTTAAAGAAAAGATACTGCCTGTATGTGTGCCTGCTCCTGCAGTTTTGGATATCCATGGCTGTAACAACAGCACAGCAAAGCAAAACTGAGGTTCTTGGCGGATGGATGGATGAAAATATTATCAGGAGGGCAGAGAGGGGGTTTGAGATGCACTCTGCATCCCTGAAACACAAAAATCTGCAAAAAGTCATAATAATGATAACATTTTTAGCATTTTTGAGCCTCATGTGGCCAATGTGGTATACGGTCATTAGCACTGGGGATCTTCTCTCCTCCATCTCTCCCTTTGAATCTTTGGCATCCCCATCAGTGAACCTGGGGATCCTTTGAGTTTGAATGATGTCCTAGATTGCTTTGCCTTGGGTTTCTTTTGATGCCTTTCTTCGCTGCTGTAGGGAAGATCTACACAAGGTGGACGTGATGACATTTTGCCAGCAGAAGATAGCCACAAGCTGTGATCTCTCAACACAGAGAGGCAGAGATTCAGCTCTTCTCTGGAAACTCCTGGTCCTCCTCTGCCGGCAGAATGGGGTAGGTGTCCTGTGGAAGTTGCTGGCCCTTTTGATCTTAGAAGTGGGACAAGTTATATGCCCCCTGGGTGTGTCTTCATCCAGTTGCTATTTTCAGGGGAAGTGTACCTTAAAATCCCATTCCCATACTACTGTCAATCAATTTGATATTGCCTGGGTCTTTGGAGCAAACCCTTCTCTGTGATTGCTTTTCATCCTTGTGAACTACCAACAACCCAATGCTATAGCAGCTGTGAAAGGGACTGGTGCCACCTTCATGGAGGAGGCAGCACGTATGCTTAAAAGGGGGTTATTCTCCTAACCCAACGAAATCCACCCAATCTAATCTGGGGCTGCTTGTTGGAAACAAGTAAGATCTTCAGAGTAAGTGCTGTGAGGGTCTTGCTAGTTGTGCTGAATCCTTTGCCCTCTAAAACTGCATGCTGGTGGCCAAGATTGGTGGTGTTGGGGAGATGTGTTAGGATGAGCACACAAGTGTAAGGGTGTTGGACTGGAAGCGTCATCAGCCTTTGCTCATGGGGCAGCCTCCAAGGGCCTTGCTCCTCTCCTTCCCTGTTGCAGTCCATGGTGGGCTCAGACACGGCTGAGCTGCTGATGCAGGACTGCAGGCGCCAAGAGAAGTACAAGAGGCAAAACCCTTCAGCAAACCTGATCGGCCTGACAGATGATGAGTGGATGTCACGTCAGCCGGGGACACTGGACCTCATTACAGGGGAGGTACCTCCCGTCGTGGAGACACAGGCACAGATAGTGGAGAAATTCACCAAGCTCCTCTACTACGGCAGGAAGAAAGTAAGTGGTGAGTGGGATCCAGGACAGGGCTGACTTTTTTTTTTCTTCTTGGCTCCTTTGGCCTCTTCAGGCAGGTTTTGAAGGGAAGAATGGTCAAGAGATGCCTTGTGGTTGTGGGATCAAGCCTTCAAGTTTTTACAACAGGGCTTACAGCAGTGTTTTCCCCCCACTGGGAAATGGGATGGGGCCCCAAGCAAAGACAAGATGTAGAAGCTTTTACAATCACTGTGGGTTTAGTTGCAGTTATATGATCTCAAGGGATACCAAAGGCACAGGGAGAGAGGAGGGTTGGATGCAGAGAAGCTTGGGTGCACAGGCTGGAATCCCACAGCAGTGGCATTGAGAGCTAACAGGCAGTGCAGACCCAAAAATCCAGGAAGACGATATTGTTATGAAGATCCCAGTTCTTGTCATTATGCCAAGCAAAAAGATAAAGGGATGTGAATATGGAAGAGCTTTTTGGAGGGTATTAGTTAAAGCCAGAATAGACATTGGGTCTCCTCTCTGAGCTGGATAAGCAGAGGGTCCCCTGGCAGTGGAGGAGGGCAGTGAAAAACAGCATCAGTGAAACCCTTTTTCTTCCCTGCCCAGGATGCTCTGGTCTGGGCCATGAGAAACCATCTGTGGGGCCATGCCCTCTTTCTCTCCAGCAAGATGGACCCTCGGACCTACAGCTGGGTGCTCACTGGGTAAGTTGAAGAAGCTAAAGCAAGGTATGATGTTCTGTGGCTGTTTTCGCCAACCATGTTACCCCTTCAGGTGCTCTCAGCCCCAGTGCACTGAAAAAAGAGAATTGACTTCAGCTGGACCCTTTCAGAGGGGGCAAAGGGGAGAGGGGGCATCCATCCGGGTGAGCCTGAGTCCTTTGGGCTTCCTGATGTAGAGGAGAAACCAAGTGGGGGCTGGAAAGCAGAAGGAAAACCATTCCCTGCAGATGTGGAATTAATTTATTCTGAGTCTTCAGCTTCGCCTTTGCTGTCCTAGCAAAGGCAGCCATCGGAGTAGGTGGAGCTGAACCATTTTCACTGTGATCCAGCCCAGGCTGAGCTGTTCATCCCATTCGTATGAACATTTTCTGGTGGAATTAATGTGCTTAGTCTGGATTGGGTTGATCCCTTCAGGGAGAGTTAAGCAGAAATTTTCTGTCTCGTGCAACCTGAATCCTTTTAAGGAGGTTTTATCCAGCGTTGTTCTGGAGACTTGCCTGCTCTGGAGGTAATGCAGATCATCAGCTTCATAGGCTGGTGATCCTGTCTGCCTTCTCTGGGAAACTCCTCAGGACACTGCTTTTCTGGGGCATTTGGGACGTGCCCTTGGGGGTGAATGAGAGTTTTGGGTCCCGGCACAGCAGCCCTGTCTCTGCTGTCTCCTCACAGATTCACCAGCACGTTGGCCACCAATGACCCCCTGCAGACCTTCTTCCAGCTCATGTCAGGAAGGATCCCTCAGGCAGCTCTGGTCCGTGAGCAAGAGGCTTGCCCTGGCACATGTACCCCTGTGCTGTCACCTGCCTGTGACACCCACTTTGTGGTGACTACATTTGCTCACCTTTGCTTTCCTCATATCTCCTCCAGTGCTGTGGTGATGCCACGTGGGGAGACTGGAGGCCCCACCTGGCCGTGCTGTTGTCCAACAAGGTTGGAGACATGGAGTTGAATCACCGAGCCATCGTCACCATGGGAGACACTTTGGGTGAGCCGAGGCCGCTGTGAGCAATTATGTTCCTGCTGGCTTGTAGTAGTGGCTAAACATGTCACCACACGTGTCCATGCTGGCACGGGTGTACGTTGGTGCTGAGATGGGGTGTGCATGCCTGTACCCCCAGAGCTGCAGTGTCTGTGCGGTGGCAAGGATGAGGCGTTGGTGGATCCTACTGTCCTTCATGCTCAGGCATATCCATCAGATGCTCTTTTGGAGACACCTGTAGCAGATGGACCCAGGCAGGGCATATGTAACTGCAGGGACTGAGACTTTTTCCTAGTGGCAAGGACCCTGGGGGATTTCATGCCAATAGTGGCACCTTGCAGAGTTGAAGCTGGAGCTAGACCCTGCTCAGGCTCCCCTGGTCCTACAGCTGAACTGAACCCCCCTTCTAGGTACAGAAATCAGCAATTAGGGAAAGCAACAAAACTGGGAGAAGGGAGGGATTAGGGTCTGCATGGACAGGGAAGAAAAGGGGAGTGGCTGGTTTTGGGCTTTCTTGTGAACTTGGGACCTCCAAAAGAAAACTGACCACATGGTGACCTCTCTTTTAGGACTAAGTGTTTGCTTTTTTTTTTTCCTTCCCATCCAGCTGGCAAGGGAGCAGTCGAAGCAGCTCATTTCTGCTACCTGATGGCAGACATTCCTTTTGGTTACTTCGGGGTGAAGGCAGACCGCATGGCTCTGCTGGGCAGCAGCCACCGGTGAGCAAGCCCAGGAGGCTGTGTTCTTGCCAGAGTGACGTGTCCTACCTTCTCCTGGGAAGGAGACCCCATCCCTGGGATCGTACTTTTATGCAAAATCAATTCCTGGTTGTTGGTTTATCCTGCTTTTAACGTGAGCTTTGCTCTGGGCCCCCCCAGCTGCAGGCTGGCACAGTGGTGGAGCTGTGAATTTGTTTGTGGGGCTGTCTAGGGGGAGAACTCTGCTCCAGTTTGCTGAACATCTCCTCTCCTCTGCAGTCAGGCATTTGCCCAGTTTGCCAGGACGGAGATCATCCAGCGGATGGAAATCTTTGAGTACTGCCAGCAGCTACGACAGCCCAAATACTTCCTGCTCCCCTTCCAGGTAGCGGAGATGCACAAGCTCATCTGCTGTAGCAGCTCAGACCTGCTCTAAAACCATGTGTCCACCCCCCTGAAGCCAGGGATTCAGGCTGCTTTCCAAGGCTTGTCCCCTCGCTGGGTTTCGGGAGTGATGGGGAGGGCTGCCCCGGCCAAGGGGCTCATCCAGGGCAGGGCTTTGGGCAGGTTTTGGGGCATGGTGCATTTGACTGGTGCTTGCTCAGGTCCCCTCCTGGCTCCCCTCCAGCTCCTTGGGTAATGGATAGGCTTTTCATATTGCAAATAAGCACCTGGCTTCTGCTGCCTTGGGCACTGCACAAAACAGATGGATGAATGAAGATGATGGGCTGGCCTTGTGACAGCACCATGATTTGGGGAGCATGGTTGGGCTGCCCCGTGGGGATGGGTGGGGTGTCCCCAAGTTGCAAGTGACCTCTGGGTGATGAGACCCGTGACCCAGGGTGCTCTGAGTCATGCTGAGGTGATATGCCAGCACCACAGCAGGGGAGACTCGTGGTCATGAGTGTCTCCTCACTCACCTACATCTGCTCTGCTTTCCTCTCCTGAGGTGTACAAGCTCCTCTACGCCTCTCGCCTGGCTGACCATGGACTCCCAGCACAGGCCCTGCAATACTGTGAGCAGATTGCCACCGTGCTCCTGGACCAGGATCCTGCCAGCCACCCTGTCCTGGCCCAGCAAGTGATGAAGGTGAGTCTTGTACCTCCCTACATCCTTGGCAGGGTGGTACCCATTCAGGACACGGTGTGGTGGGAAGCATCCTTGAGGTTTCCCCATGGCTGTGGGTGCTTGGCAGCTCTGAGTAAGCCCCCCCCCAGGTTTTTCTGCCTGACGTGTTCTGAGCACAGCAAAGCCAACACCTCCGTGAGGTCTCTAATACCACGGATTTAGGGTAGGAAACAAAGGAATTGTGTTGAGTGCCAAGTAGGAGCAGAGTTATTTGGAAGCAAATAACGTTTTCTATTCTGGACGGGCTTTTTGAAATTCTAAATGGAACAGACTTAAGAAGGTGAAGTGTGAGCGTTTGACATTTCCCTTCCAGCACATCATCCCATGGCTGCATCTACCTTGCTGAGGGCTCTTTAGGGGTGACAGTGAAGAGAAGCGTGTCCCAGCTTGTAGCCCTGAGCCCAGCTCCTCCACTTCATGAGTGGGGTGCTGGGGCAGAGAGGGCACAAGCAAAGTGTCCCAGGTCCTCTGAGCAGGTTGGGCTCTCAGGAAGGCAGGTATGCCCACCCCATGTGCATCACTGGGGCAGTGCCGAGGCTGCTCGAAACCTTCCTTCGTTGGGAAGGGGGCAAAAGCTGTCGTGCTGTAAGATGAGGGGCAGCAGGGACGCCTGTCTGAAGCAGGCACTGTAGAAATTGCCCAGAACTGGGCTGGCACAGTCCCCCCCACCCCATTGTCGAAGCCTATTTACTGTCTAACAGCCTTTCAGATCTACCGTTCTGCTGGGGATAATGCTTCTCCTGGGAGAAAACACTTTCATCTGAAAAACTAGTGCATTCGTAGACACTCTTGTCTTTGATGTTTTAGACTGTGTTACAAATTATGATACACATTAGTGTTTGATTAAGACTTCCCCTCTTTTGAAGCTGGGGACGATATACAACCAGGTGCTGGTTCATTAATATTGGATCAAAGTGCACATTAGCTTTTGGATTAAACATTCCCCCCGTTTAGGAGTAATCATGCTTATAATTTCCTCTTTCCTGCAATTGATTTAGGATGAACACATGTATGTTTGCAAAGAGACAGGATGGTGGGGTCTGGTAGTGCAAGCTCCTGGCTGGGTTACTGTGGTTGTGGCTGGCCCTTGTCCTCAGCTGGGCTCCGGCTGCGTGGGTCGTGTCTCATTGTAACCTCCTGGAGATGGGAAGTGTCTTCTCTATTGGTTTAGACTGTTTTGAACAATTTTGGCAATAGGAAGAAACAGTTGATGTGGGGTGGGCTGGATAGATGAGACCTCTGTGGCTGTGGAGGGTGGCTGAGCTGCTAAGTCACCTCTGGATGGCTTTTGGTGGCCCTTGATGAGACAGCCTAGTAGCAAAGCGTGGAAATCAGCGCAAAGGGTCTGGGAGGGAGCTTGATAAATTTGCAAGAAGTGGGTCGATACCAGCAAGAGGAAATTCAGGAAAGGCTTGGATGAAGAGGTGAATGTCATCTCTCCTCATCCAGCTGTCTTAAAACCACGCCTTTGTCCAGGAAATTCATCCAGACTGATTTATCTCTGCAGGGAGCCCTCCATCGCACCCTGGGCTGGTGGGTTGGGTCACCCCAGAAGAGCCTCTTGCTCTCTTGACAGTAGCTGGAGCCCCTTGTATTCGAGATGGCTGCAGCCAGGGTGGCACGGACCCCTCTCTGGCAAGAGAAATTAAACAGGCAGCAGCAATACTGCAGAGAGGGACCTGGGGGAGATAGCGGAGCATGGAAAAAATACCAAGCAGCAACATAACAGGATGCTGTTGCAAAAAAAAAATAAAAAAATCCAATGTTATTCTGGGCTGTGAGAGCAAGAACGGCATGTGTGAGACAAGGAGGTGATAATCCCCCCCATGCTCAGGTCTCGGGGGTCTTGGCTGGGGCACCGTGCCCCGTTTGAGATGCTGCATTCAGCGACAGGGCCAAATTGGAGCAAGTGCAGAAAGGAAGAGCAGGGGTGATAAGAGATAGAGGGGAAAATGACCTCTGAAGAGGGCCTCGGGGTTATTTTTTTTTTTCCAGGCGAGATATGGTGGGGGAGGAAGGGCTATGGGGGATGCGATAACAGCCCTCTGGCACACAGGAGGCTGCTTTTCGGGGAATGGTGCCTTGCTGTCCCCACAGCTTCCGCAGGAGCAGGAACCGGAGGCTTAATTTGCAGCAGGGAAGATTTCACTTAGATATTAAGGAAAAAAAACTCTTTAGCTCTAAGGACATTAAGTACCAGGACAGGCCTGGGAGGCTGTGAAATCTTCTCCTTGGAGATTTGTAAGTGCAAATCAGACAAACGCAGGCTGCATGGGCTGGCGTGGGCACGCAGGATTTTATTGAGCGTTGGCAACCCCAGAGGGTCCCTCCCAGCCCTGCATTTGTTTTCTGTGTGGTTATTAGTGATGGGAATTCTTGCTGCAAAGCTGGGTGAGGGAAGGGCCGGGTGAGCCCTTAGCTCAAACCCTGCTGGCTCCCATCCATCCTCGCGGGGCAGGTACCGGGCTGGTGCACAGCTCCTGGGAGCTGGGCTGTCCCCAGAGCTCCTGCAAACCCACCGGTGCCCTGGACTAGCTGTCAAGTGTGGGATTAAAGGTGCTCATTTACCTCAGAGGAGAAAAGGGTGGTAATAGTTACCTGCCTTTCTGATGTGAAGAGCATCTTTGATATGGGTACTTTGACCTTTCTGTGGAGATGGCCCTGCTGGGAGGTTCTCTGCGGGGCACGGGGTGGGCCAGCCCCTCTCAGCAGCAATGCAGGAGAGGGAATAAATCCTGTGGAAGAGGCTGGTGTTGGAAATGCAGCTCTGGTGCTGTTTTTCCCCTGGGCTTGTGTGCCCAGCCACGGGCAATTGCTGCCAGGGTTGGTCTCTCCCCCTGTGGAGCTGAAATGTGTGATGCCTTCCTGGCTCTGCAGCTAGCCGAGCGGCTGAAGCTCTCCGACCCACTGCTCCTGGAGATGCCAGAACAGGACCAGACACTGGAGCCCGACTGGTTGGTACAGCTCCGAGCCTGCTGCCAGGAGTGGGAGGTGAGGAGGAGTGGGGATGCCGGGAGGGGCAGCTGGTCTGCACTGTAGCTCATCTGTGGAAGCATCTTATCATAGAATCATAGAATGGTTTGGGTTGGAAGGGACCTCAAAGATCATCTAGTTCCAACCCCCCTGCCCTGGGCAGGGACACCTCCCACTAGAGCAGGTTGCTCAAGGCCACATCCAGCCTGGCCTTGAACACTTCCAGGGATGGGGCATCCACAACTTCCCTGGGCAACCTGTTCCAGTGTCTCACCACCCTCATAGTAAAAAATTTCTTCCTGAGATCTAATCTGAATCTTTTTTTCTTCCAATTTAAAACCGTTTCCCCTTGTCCTATCATTACCCTTCCTGGCAAAGAGTCCCTCCCCAGCTCTTCTATAGGCACCCTTCAGATATTGAAAGGTAGCTATAAGGTCTCCCCGGAGCCTCCTCTTCTCCAGGCTGAACAATCCCAGCTCCCTCAGCCTGTCTTCATAAGAGAGGTGCTCCATCCCTCTGATCATCTTCATGGCCCTCTGCTGCACCTGTTCCAGCTGGTCCATGTCCTTTCTGTGTTGAGGACTCCTCTTCTTCCTCCTCTTCCCTGAATCCAAGGGGACAGGTCTGGGGGTTCAAAGGGCATTGCTACCCAGGTGCCTTTCCCCTTGGCCTGTGAGCTCAGAGATGTGGTCTCTGCTGTTGCACCTGAGGGCTTGAGCTGTGAGGGCTGCAGAGCTTCCCAGGGGGCAAAACACTCCTTGTCTTGGCTCAAGGAGGGCAGTCAAGGGCTGATGGTCTCCTTTGTGGTGAGGATATTGCAGAGGGCATTAGCAGGACATCACCTTGCAGCTCTGTGCTCTCAGGACCCTTAACTGCAGTCTGGTCCTCGGATTAATGTTCTTCGTTCAGGTTTCATGTCTACTTCTGGTTTTGTGCCCTCTTGTGCCTCTCTCTTCAATTTCCCCTCCTGCCTGCTCTCAGCGTGGTGGTGGTGCTGCAGCCCCCTTCACTTGCTGGGGGAGAGCTGTCACCATGCTGGTATGGGTCTCACCCATAACCTGGGCTCCTGCAGCCTGGGGTAGGTTGTGAGGCCCAGACACATCAGCATCATGCTTTCCTTTACGTTGGCTTCATAATTTCTTCAGTCTTTTCCCTGTGTCATCCTTTTTCCCATCTGTTTTATCATGTTTTCCTTCTGACTCCTTTGCAGGTGGAAGACAACCTCCCTTCAGAGGTGGCACCTGCTCAGCTAGACCTCTCCTGGGATGCTGCAGCGACAGCAGGTAAAGAAAACGAAGCAGCAGGTTGCAATGGCCACAGTGGGCTTTTCTGCACGTGGAGCTGTGCTGCCATGGGCTGGGAGGCAGCTCCCTGCTCCCCAGAGCATCTCTCAGCACCTGCTCCTTGCTCCTTTCATTCCCCCACAGCTCGGAATTTTGCTCCTGCCTGGATGCATCCCTCTGGTCTGGGCTGCAAATAAGGGTTGATGCTCGTGCCCTTCATAGGAAGACTCAGTAATTGGGCCTAATTACTGCAGCTTCGGCAGTCCCTGTGGGTGCTGTGGGAGGAGAAGGGGAGCCGGGGGGCGGGTGGCTGGAGGAAGCACGTGGCTCCTGGCCGAGCCTCAGGGGAGATGGCCCCATTCCTAGGCAATCCTCTGAGGATGCAAATTGGAGCTGAACTAAGGAGATTTCACACTTGCAAAGCAAAAGATTTGGGAAGGAGCTCGTCCTTCTGCGTGCCAGGCTGCAGCAGGCCTGTTGGTGAAGCCCCAGCCTTTCCCCTTCCCTGCTGCCTCTTTTATCCCCTCTTGGTGACCCCAAGAGTCCCCTCCAGTGACAGTCCACCCAGAGAGTCAAGACACTTCAAGATAAGGGACACAAGCCTCCCCTAGGTGGCTGCCAAGGGAAGGGGTGGAGGGCTTTTCTTTCCTAGCTGGGGCAGCATGTCCATAGGGATGTCCCATCCAGGGGAAGTCACGGGAAGGTGAGCCATCAGTGTTGCTTCACAGCCACCTCCATCAGCAGGATGCCCTGGCAGAGCCTGCTGGCTCCTCACTGCTGCTCAGATCTAGCTTTCTGCTGGGAACGCCGGCACCGATGGGTGGAGAATAAAGGCTGGTGCAGACAGGATAAAACATGACAAATTCCTCCAAGCCGTTTCTTCCTATCAGCTTTCCCCCGCTGCTGCCAAATTCCTCTTCAAAGAGCTCTCCCGGGCAGTAAAAAGGATCATCAATCCTGATTGCCTTCTGCTGCTATCAGGGCTGAGGCTATGATCATCCTTTCCTGGAAAAAAAGTGGCAGGTATGATGGGATGGCTTCTCTGAGCAGCCAGGTCTGCTCCACGTGGTCTCTGCAGCTCGCTTTCTCGACACTTGGCCCTTTTGTTTATTGAGAAGGCCATCCAGAGTCACCATCTGAGGGACCTGCATGCAGAGAAAGCTGGCTTGGTGTGAATTCATCCATCTTGGAAAGACAGAACCCAAACCAAGGTGCCAAGCTGGGATCCACGTGGTCACAGCAATCTTGTTCTCCATCCTTCCAGCCTGGGCTGTCCTCCCTGACTTTTTCCGGCTGAGCTTGTCGGGCAGCATGGGGTTGAGCATCCATCCTCCTCCCTGTGGATCTCAAGCATCTCCAGGCTGTGCAGGGAGCAGGTTGAGGATGCGCAGCCAACCCTGAGTAGGCTGGAGGAGATGCTGGCAGGCAAAGCAAAGGGTTTTGTAGCTCCGCATCCAAGAGATTTCAAAGTCTGTCCCCAGTCTTAGACCCATGGGGTCTGGGTCCTGCCTGGCTGTGTCTGATGGTGATGGGAGAGAAACTTCTTACTGCCCAGCATGTTCCTGGCCAGAGGCTGCAGAGCAAGAAGAAGCAGGACACGCACCTAGTACTAACGTCAGTGTGCTGGCTGCACTGTGTCTAACATCAGACAGAGTAATGTGTGTGCGTGTTAAATAAAACAAACCCCGCTTGCTCAACCTGCCTTTCAAACAAAAAAAAAATCCAACCCTGAATAAATCTGCCTAAAGCAAGAAACTCAACCACAGGTGCTCCTGCGGAGCAGGAATGAAGGTTTGAGGCTTCCTGGGGAGTTTTCTTTCCTGCTCGGGGTGCGCAGCAGGAGTGGAAGAAAAGGCTGGAGGCCCCAGGCTCTTTTGAACTGCTGGGGTTGTGCTGCTCATGCTTGATCTCTCTGCTTCCACAGCATTCCCCTTCCCAGTTCATTTGCAACCTCAGGCACGTTCCTGGGAGGTTTCCCCTCTGTTTTTCACAGGCCACCTTACTTGAAGCCTCTGAAAGGTCTCTGCTACCACACCATGCCCTGCCTGCTTTCTCACCCCCCCTGGCTTCTGCTGATGTATAATGGAAAAAAGAGAGAATTCTGTGCAACAACACAATGAAATTATAACCACAAGAATAAACTCCTGAGATGTGGTTTTTTGTTTTGTTTTGTTTTTTTCTTTCAGATGCTGATCCTGGCCATGAGCTTCCTCAGAGCAAAGGCTTCCAGTATGACCAGTGGTACCAGGCTGTGCCACCCCAGGGACCCAGCTCCCATGAGGACATGTCTCTCCAGCCCCCAGCACGTGCTCAGGTCACAGCATCACCACTGCTTGGTGTTCAGCAAGACCCGTTGCCCCCCACGGTGACCCCAGGGATGGCCACCCCTCCAGGAGGGGTTTTTGATGAACCCCCTCTGCAGGTGGTGCCAACGGCAGGTAAGTTCTCCAGCTTTGTTCCTCTGCAAAAATGCCTGTCCCCAGTTACAAGCAAGTGGGATGGGGTGTCCCTTGGGGGAAGTGTTGATCCCCTGTGGCATGTGGGTCACTTCAAAGGATGCTTGCTGCCTTCACCCAGCATCTTGCCTTGTTTCCCTCCAACCTTGCCCACATGCAGAGCCATGCAAACTGTGTCCACCAGCGCTGCCTACCCCGGGCAGGTGGGTCTTCATTGTTGGAAGACCTTGTCCAAAGCAGCACGGGAGGCCAGCTGTGGGGTGGTAGCAGCTGCTTTGCTGTCAGATGGGAAAACCAGCTTCATGTCCAGCAGCACTAGGCAGGTTTTTGAGATGCACCAGTGCAGCCTTGTGGCTGACTCCCTGGTGCTGGCAGGAACAGGGTCCAGCATTGTCTTTTGTGTCTTTTGGGGGGTCATCTTGGACGTGAAGCCTTGCTCTGAGGTGGAATGATAGAAGCACTGAAAATACCTCAATGTGGCAGAAGCTCCTTGAGCCAAATCCTGACTGTGTCCCTCTGTCTGTTGCGCAGGAGAAGCTGGGGAGCCCCGGGGTGCCCCACTGTCCCCTGGTGGGGTGCAGCCATCCCTCCCAGCAGAGCAGGTGAGTCAGAGGGGTCAGGGAGATGATCCCACTGGTGGGTCCTTCCACGCACTTAACTGCTGTGGAAACCCCCATCATGGTGCTAGCTGTCCCCTTGGGGACCTTACAGGCTGAAGTAGCCCTCTCCAGCCTTCTATGTCTGGGACTGCTGCACCCCACTGTGGGTGCTGTCCCTCCCTGGGGATGCTACCTGTTAAACCTGGCGAAGAGGAGTCCCAGGGATGCCCTGATCACGCTTGGGGTGGCTCCTCTGGGAACACCAAGTGGCAGCTCTGATCTTGATGCCAGGAGGAGTTAAAGGCAAGGACTCGGAGCATCTCGGATACCTCCACCATCTCCTTGGGAGATGACAGCCGGGCTTCCTCAGAAAGTGCAGCTGAAGACACCACTGAAGAGACGGCACCAGCAGAGGCGGCGAAGCCAGATGAGGATAAGGTGAGCCGGAGCTGACATGAGGTCTCATGCTATGAGCTTGCCTGTCCCTGATGTCTGCTGAGCCTACCCTGACCTGGGCAAAAAGTTGCTGGTTCCCAGCCAGCGTGGGGGGAGTCTGGGTGGCCACGGTCCCCTTCTCACCCATTTCCATTGACTGTGACAACCTCCATTTCCCAGAGCTCCGGATTCAGGTGGTTTGGCTGGTTTCGGTCGAAACCCACCAAGGAATCATCTCCCAAAGCCTCCTCTGAGACAGTCCCGAACTCCCCCACGCTGGAACCTGAGGTAGGGGATGAAAGGCTGTCCTGGCTCCAGGTGACACCCAGGGTTACAGCTATGGGGAGAGGTGATACATCTCGTCTGTCAACCACTATTGGACTCGATGATCCCAAGGGGGTCATCCTAACCTAAATGATTTCAACCTAAATGATTCTATGATTCTATTTCTCCATCCTCATGTAGGTGGCTGGGCTGTGCCATTGGCCACCTCTCTCTTTGTCATAGCTCTTTGTGGCCATAGCTGCTCAGTATGGGGACAGAGTGGGACCGGGAGCCCTTTTAGCCTGGAAGTGAATCCTTGATTAATCAGTAATTGTAAATTTATAAAGCCTCTTTGATCTGGGAGGTCCTCTGAGTGCTTGGCAAATGCGGCAAGGATCGCTTTCCCTCCACTGGAGCGGAAAGTAGCAGCTGTAAGTGGCACCACTCGGGCAGGTTTTAGGAGCTGAAGGGAAGCAAAACCTCTAATTGGAAGTGCAGCAGAGAAGGGGAAGCAGCTGAGAAGGGGAAGCAGCTATGCGTGGTTATCCTGGTCCTGGCTGAGTCCTCGGGGTATCACATCTCTGACTGCAGAATGATGATGGGCTTGGAGGCAGAATTTGGAGTGTGATCCTCCTCTGGAAGTTTCCTCCTGGTTGAGAATGACCTACAGTCCTGGAACAGGGACTTTTGGGTTATTCTTGCAAAACTAGCAGGAGATGAAGAACAGAGAGGGACCAAGGGACCCTGGTGGCCTCTTACACTGTTCACAGGCTTGGTGTCCAGCCTCCTGCCTAATTTTGAGCTCTACGAATGGTTTATCTTTGTGACATGGGTTGCTTGCCCGACCCTGTACTCCCCCTTAGCTTGGGTGCCTGTAGTTGTTGGGGTACCTCTCCAGCAGGACGGGTGCACAGCGGCACCCTGAAAGTGTGGTGTGGCATCTGGTGGTGAGGTCCTCTCACCATGCAAGGAGCTTCTGCTCTAAATGGGTGGATGTAATTTCAGGAACGGACATCGCCATTGCCACACGATGCTCCTTTTGCATCTGGGACAAGCCCTTTGGCTCAGCCTCCATCCAGAAACCCTGGTAAATGCTGTGTGGGTCCCCTCGCCCCTCTCCCTGACAGCCTGTTAGAAGCTGTTCCTCTGAATTTTATGCTGTTGTGGGTTTTTGTTGTTGTTGTATGCCCCAGGAGGAACGCAAGGTGAAAATACCTTTCCAGCTACTCCAGTGTCTGTTGAGGTGAAAGGCTTGTGGGATCCAGAAGCTGGGGAGTCAGCAGGAGAGCAGGTGAGGAGAGGAGGGAGATGTATTTGAGCATGATGGGGGGCTCCAGGACACCTCTCTGCTTGTGGTGGCTCTGAAATTGGGGGGTGGCTGCTAAGTTTCTCTCCTTTCACCCCTTCCAGACTGGCTCCCACAAATCTCCCCCAATGGTGGGGACAGTCCCCCTCTTCAACCCTGCCCAGGTGTCTCAGGTGAGAGCATCCCCTGGGAGGAGGGGGTGGTGGTGTTGCTGGATATAAGGGCTGGGGGTGGCTCCTGGCTTTTGGGGTGATGCCAGACAGCTTGCAATCTGCTGTGGGCAGGGGGGTATAGGAAATACCAGCCCTGGCTAAAAGAATTTTGTGTTTATAACAAAATAAACTGGGGGAGGACAGTGATGTCAGGGGAAGGGGTGGAGGGAAATGGTGGGGGATGCTCCTGGGGGAGGACATCCTGAGGACAGCAGGCCCACATTTTTGGGGGTACAACCTTCCCTGACACTTTCTCTCTCTCTCTCTCTCATTTCCCAGATGGCTGCTGCCTCTAGACCCAACCAACCCCGGCTGCTCTCCCAGCGCCGCTACCCCAACCTGCTGTGAGTGAAGAGTGGCAGAAAGGAAGGGGGGAGAAATCAACAGATTAGAAGTTGAAAAGTTTTTAAAAAAATCCGGTCTTTGTGATTATTTTTGTGTCGTAATAGGTCATGGAGGGGGGTTAGAAAAGGGTGTCCGGAGGAGAGTAGTCTGAATTGGGTTGTAGGGCGCTGCCCCACCTCACCCATTGGACTCAATCGCCGGCCGTGAGTCTGTCTCAAAGCACCGCGGGGCCACGAGCATCCGCCGGGATCCCGGGGAGTGTGGAAGCTCCACGCGAGACCTGCTCGGCTTCTCCTGCCCACGGACCGGCCCACTTAAAGTCGTATAGACGCGGCGCCCCCCCTTGCTGGTGGCTCACCCGCCCCACTCGCGGGCGGGGCTCTGCTGGAGCCGCGGGCGGCCCTTCCCTCAGACCTTCCCCGAGGCGGGGCTGTGGGTGACGCACACCCCGTGCGTGGCCTCGGCGGTGAGCTTCCCCCGGACGCATAAAACTGTTTCTTTCTTCTTTATATATCTACTACGTTTTTCTCGCTGCTTCTAGGTCAGGGTGAGGCGCCGGCGCTACCCAGTGGGCATTGCGTCGTATGCTAATTAA